GAGAGAGAGAGAGAGAGAGAGAGAGAGAGAGAGAGAGAGAAATCCCACCAATACTGACCACGAGGTTCCAAAGGTAAGGGTCACTGGTTACAATATATATGCTTTTTCTCCGCATTCTGATGGAGAGAGAAAGAGATGGACAGACAGACAAATAATCTCACCAATATTGACCACCAGGCTCCAGTGGTAAGGGTTACAACATATCACAGGCTCTTTCTCCTCGTTCAGCCGGCCGCACGAGGGAAGTCTCTTCATTTCCACGTCCCGCGCTAGGTCCGGCCAGCGAAACACGCGGCAGCACAGGACGTACGGGGACATGGTCCTCCGCCCCAGACGCAGGTCCCACTTGGACACAGGCACACAGGCCGTCCTCTCTCCTCCCTTTGACTCCATGGCCTGCAGCAGAGTTTCCAGCTGATCCTCCCGGAGTCTTTTGAAGAAGGACTGCGTGACGGATTTGAACTCCAGATCCTCCGCGGTGGAGGCGTCCTTTTGAGGCGGACCCCCGGCTTCATCGCTCACCTTGTACTTCCACAGGCGCTTCACGAGTGAGCTTCTTTTGCTGCGGAACATAAAGTTACACGCCACATCCCACACGCGGCCCCTCGCCAGTCAGCATGGAACAACCACCACCGGAGGGGCGGGTGGGACGCAGGGAATCAAACCAGACACCAGCCACTGTGGTGGGGGGAGGGGGGAAACAGGCTCACCACCAGACCGCTGAGTTTCCCGAGGGGGGCGGCGATCTCATCAGCCCACGACCTCTGCTCTCACTGCAACAAGGTTTTTTCACAACAAGCAGGCAAACGACACCAGGGGGCGGCACGAACTCTGCGCCAAACACCACCACCACACAACAAAACCTTTCTTTACCCACAACGAAGAAAAGAAAAACAACCCCCTACAAAAGACAGAAAAAACCCCAACAAACAAACCTCACAACAATGAAGAAACAAAACCACCAAACGAATCCTGAAGAAAATGGAAAGACCAGCAAACACCAGCTCTCCTTCAGCACATAAAATCCTTCAGAAAGAGCGGAATCAATCCAACATATATTCTGATTCCATCGCATCAGCCACGCACAAATCCTGTCAAGACTTTGGACTGTGAAACCACTGTAGTAGAGTCACAGAATCCCTCGCCACTCCAAAACAGATACTCCAAAAGACTTGTCACCAGCAGGCCTCCCTCCTCACACAAGTGGGAAAGACACTCCCAACTGCAAGGGAAAAGAAAATTGTAAAAATAAATCACAATTCATTAAATCATGCAAGGTTCACTCGGAATGAAAATCTCTTTTTTGAATGTAGGTGTTTTTACGCCCAAATCGACATCATTATTTAGATAATTTATGAGGCAGGCTTCCACCCTTCCTGCCTGTCAGGGCCAACCTGGGCTGAGAGGGATACAACATCCCAGCAGAAAGGCCGAAATACTCAAATAAAATTTTTCTTCCCGCTCGGAATTCAAACTCAGGTCTCCTGCAAGTGACAGAGAAGAGCATCGCTACACCACAGACACCGGTGATTGGGTAAAAAACAAAACAACAACAACAAAAAACAGGTTCAAAGTTGAAGGTAATCAAGACAAGAGTCATTCTCATCTCCCTCACCTCCAAACCCCCCAAAACAAAAAGGAAAGAGGTCAGGGGCGCCACTGGTCCCAGCCAGTAAGAGTTCAAGAGTATAGTATAGATGGGTGGCTATAGACAGACCACCAATCAAGATGATGTGTTTATAAAACATTCATTACATCACCAATCATGGTGAGTTTATAAAACATTCACCCTATCACCAATCACGGTGGTGTGTGTGGTGTGTTTACAAAACATTCACTACATCACCAATCATGGTGTGTTTATAAAACATTCACTACATCACCTATCATGGTGTGTTTATGAAATATTCACTACATCACCTATCATGGTGTGTTTAAAACATTCACTACATCACCTATCATGGTGTGTTTAAAACATTCACTATATCACCTATCATGGTGGTAAAACATTCATGTGATGTGTTTATAAAACATACACTACATCACCAATCACAGATTTTTACTTGATTAATTGTGAACGTGAACACCCCTCTCAACACAATTTAGGTTATTTAGGAAGCGCACAGCCAGAGCCAACCCAGAATGAGTCAGAGTGAGAAACTATCTTTTCAAAACCATGTACCTATGCAGCGGGTCAAGATAGTGGGCACTAGCCAAGCACCCCCCCCCCCCTCAAGCCCTTCACACACACATTTATGCATTAATAAATTCCAGCTATTCAATGAAGACTCACAGCAAAAGATCTCTCCAATTGGCTTTGTAATATGGGCTTTGTTCTCAAATTTTTAAAGGCAAATCCAGTCTAAAGAAGTTGATAATTTTTCTTCAGCATCAGTGAGTCCATGAGGAGCAATACTAGTAAACACAGAGTTTTTATGTATTTTCGAAAAATGTACTTCCCAAAGGTTTTTTAATTTTTTTAAAGTAGAGGTTTTACAACGCTCGCAACTGCATACGGTCATTATGAGCGCCAAGGGGTGGATGTCAACAGAGTAAGTCTTTACAGGGGATCAGGCTTACTCTGCTCACCTCTTTATCTTCAACAGCACAATACAACGTCTGTTTCGACTTTCAAGGCACCCCGGAAATAGCGGGTCACAGAGTGACAAAACATACAAATGAAGTAGAAAATGAGGATAGAATAGTAAGGATGAGGAAGGAAAAAGCAGCAGTTCCCTGTTGTAGTTCAGGCACAGTTATGAGCGTGACATTGCTGAATCAACCCAGGCACAGTTATGAGCGTGACATTGTTGAATCAGCCCATTTACAATTCTACCTATGCATAAGAACGAGAAATGTCCCCCCCCTTTGGGAATGGCCTAAAGACACTTCAGTCAGCGGCATGGCCCCCGGGCCCCAGGGGGGTCCCAAAGGTTTGTGTTTGAAACAAAATTGATTTTGAAGAAGGGCAACAGAACCGAAAGTCTGAATCGCAGCCTGGTGGGTGAAAAATTCCAAGTGATCTACCAAAATAAATCAGATGTAACTTTCAGAATTGATATCCCAATGAATGTTGCAATTGTTACTTTTTAAACCACACACATACACATGATGATTCTTTCTTTTTAAACTAAACTGTGCTCTTAAAAAAGGAAAGTTAATTTATTATGTTGAGGGCAAAGCTTTACAAACATACACACTGATCATGCACACACACACACACCCACACCTTCTTTCCAACCTCAAAGCCATTTTTTTCCTTCATTATGAGTCTGCCAAAAAGTTATTATAATCAAGTACAGAAGTCAAAAAGCATCCCACTTACTTAGAATATTTTATCATGATCATGGTGAGAAACTGGAGAAATCTGAATAAAAATATGGACACTGACTTACAAAGTTTTGAACAATGTACTAGTACTGTAGGACATATTATTATTTTTTTAATTGACTAGATTAAACGGCTCTAAAACAAGTTTGAATATAAAAAACCATTCTGAACAGATCAAATAGTTTGGAATGTCTCCCAACTTATGAAGGACTTGAGATTTGACATTCTAGAGTAGGCCTCTACTAGGCAAATGTGCCCCCCCC